ACTAAATTATAATCTTTTAAAGATAACTATAGAAACAGCTAATATTAGTTTATCCATACAAATTATCCTCATATGCCTTGTGGGACAATAATAAATGAACACTGGGTTACGTGAAAGCCACAGCTCAAGCTTATGTAAGTATTTTCCTAATACTGCATTTGTATATATGCGACATTAACATTGATAAAGTCATATATTTGAATTATATGGGTCATTTAAATGAACAGTCGTTGATTTATTATGTTTTGCATAACATATATAATTGATTCATCAGTAATTTTGGGTAAAATCAGTAATATTAAAATCTATGGATAGTTTTATAATGCTTATTGAAATATGATAGTATCGGCTTTGATCACTGGACAAATAACATTGGTTACTACTCAGTGATTAGTCAGTTTACGAATCTCGGTCGTACCTAAATCATAGAGTCTCAAACTATGATACAGAGTGATGTGAGTTGGAATTGTACTGGAATAAGTAATCGTTTCATGATTCAAGATACATTCTTTTGACAAGCGTCATTATATCAAAGTCCATTAAATGGAGGCTCGTTTTTCCCTATTGGACTAAATCGAACAATCTAATGTTTGGCATCATTTGCATAATCTAGTTGTAAATTAGTTATAGATCTATATTGCATTCCGTAATTTACCACTTTTTCAAACATAATCTAAACATTTTAAAATACCAGAGTTCTTTTTAATAGAATATGAAAAACTACAGGATTATCATATATTCCAACTGTCAATAATACTTTTATTAAATAGGAAATTAAAATTAAGATTTCCCTTATAATGAAAATGAAATTGCTTCACTCTTACTTTGAACTAATGCAAACGTTTTAGGATAATATATTAGTACTTTTAAATGTTACGTAACTGACAACAGTGACAGATGTTATTCAAAATGAATAATAAGATAATTATTTCATCAATATTATTTTTCGAAAATGCGATAACATAAATAATTACTATTAAGTAAAGATAGGTGTTGGCTAGCAGTGGAATCCAGGATTTGCATTTCGTCCTATTTGGTACTCATCAACTAGATGTACCTAAATCTCCGAATTGATGTTCATTCCTGGGCTCGAACCCAGCAACGTTTGTTTCAAACGTCATCATGTCCAGGGTTCCACTGCTAGCCACTATCCATCCTTGCATATAATGCTTGTGAATTAAGACAGTATCGAGGCAATACGCATAGGATACATACATGCTAATAAGAGACTGATTAATTGCAGTCCTAAACATCAATAAGAAGTATCAAACAAACAATATCCAATGAGTTTACTGATTATTATTGTTATTGGTACGAATTTTTTAGAAGTAAAAATAGTAAATTTCTAATACAATTAATTATCCATTAAAGCTCTATAAGAAAAACTCATTTAAGTCATATATACGGCATTTAATTTTCTAATAGCCACAAACGAAATGAAGTCGAATGCAAGTTTTAACAATTCAGTGAATGTGTTACGAAAGTTTGAACTCATAATGGTTACATAATTATACTACTCAAATATACTGCTAACAGTGTCTTTAGTTTAGGTTAGACGTTTACTTTGAATAACATGGTAACAATAATGAATGTTAGGGTTTCGTGGAGTAAAATGCTAAGTTACCAAAAGTTCGAATGAATTATATGCTGTGAAATGTCAACTGACTACTAACAAAGTCTATTAAGTAGGCTATTTACATTAATATAAAGCTGGACAAGGAACTGCGCTACAGATTAACTGTAAAACGTTCTTTTATTAAATTAGAGAAATTTGACCAAAATGCAATGATATGTAATCTGAACATGAAAAGTTGGTTCTTGAAGAAAAATCACGGTAAAATCTTTTAAAAATCAATCAGTAACTAGCAGCTAATAATGGATTCAATCAAACGAAAATGTATTGTCCAACTGAATTCCATAAGATTTCTCTTGAAGTTTGCTGAAAATGACGTCTTAAAACGTTTACGTTTATTGAATTCATCACTACTTTCAACATAGCCATACGCTTAGCATTGTGATTAAAAAGCTTCCTGATACTATTAACAGCAGTATTCTACATAACAAATTCGCCATTCTAAATATTATTTTACATATGTTCAAATTTTCGCGCGATTTCGTGGATTAGTTAAGGTTAGACATCAACACCGTTAGATGCCGACTCAATAATCTAGATTCTAAACGTCCGCATGAGAGACAGAATGCCTTGAGTTTGAGTCCCACGAGCAGGATCGTGGATGCGCATTACTGAGGAGTCCCACAATAGGACGAAACGGCCGTCCAGTGTTTCCAGGTTTTCAATGGTGGTCTAAACACTAATCGGTTAATGGTTTCAATAAAAAAGTTCAAATTTTCCCTTAAATAAAATATTTTATTTCTTGTATTGTGATATAGGCAGATAATTCTAATTACTGAGCCTGGTATACACTAATAAGCCGTTCTTGTCACTTATTTTCTCCGCGCTCCCATAAATAACTCATATTTCAGATAATAGATACTTCTGTTAAGTTTGTGAATGATATTTCAATGTATATCCCTGTAACTTTTTCTCTTACATGGTTATAAAATGCTTGATTGTCAAACTGATACCTTTGGCCTTGATAATATAAATAATTCATCCTATGAATTAGTAACGGCTTTTTAATACGAAATATACCGTGTTATCCCTTATAGTGAATTATTTTTAATTGTAATTTCTATTCGTTTCATCATGTTATCATAAAATAAAAAGATTTCCTTAGTTGCTCAGTTAAGGTAGATCAGCGAGTTTCTCATTGAGAAATTACCAAGTGCAAATTTGTAGAACGTTTTTCTCCAAGCATCTGGAGTAAATTTATCTTGATGGCATTAGGTGGAGTAAAACAAACACGTGCTTTTTGGATAGGAAACATTTGTTGGCATCTAAATTAAACTATCTCACTTCTACTTTTGTTAATCAACATAGATTTTTATCATTCAAAAGCTGATGATCGTCGGAAGCAAACCTTCTTGCCATTATTCATGTCATTTGTTTACGGCACATAGTGAATTAAATTTATTTCTGTGTTGTAGGAAGTTTGACCTCCTAGTTTAGGTCATTAATTTGAACTGGTCTCTGTTATTTGAGTAATAATGTGATTTATTATATTTGTTCGACACTCCATTCAATCAGTTACAGTATCGGTTATATACAGTTTTCAAAAGGACTTATTAATGTTTAACCAAGTTAGAGAGATAAAAATACCAAGACGGCCGATCTTATTGTCACACTATTCATTTAAAATCTCCAATATATCCGGAAATACTGTTCAATATTCTGCATTGAATGATCGTTAAGATTTGAGATTGATCTAAGAAGAATAGGTAATGTTCTACTTCATCAAAGTAATCCATAATGTAACAGCAAGCTGTTTGAATATAGTGAGAAATATGAACATTTAGAGAGTAAACATAATAGTTTTTAAGCTAGTATTTCAAACGAGGGATCAGTACTATAAAGTTAGTGATAATAGACTACTAATTTTCTATATCGTGCTCAGAAGTGTTATTTAGTACGAGGATTTAGAAAAGATAATTTATAATAGACACTTTAATTTCTAATTAATTTGTACCATGAACTTAATAATTCCTATGTAAATAAACTCATTGTTCATTTTTCCCTTTCCTTATTTTGAGTATTAGCTATATTAGCTGTGTAAATAAATACTATTGTAAAAAATACGCGGAGGAAGAAATAACACCAATACTAGTATGGTCTGTTGTTTACGCTATGATGCTTGTTGTGATAATATTTGAAAAAATGGACACATAAATACATCTTTATGTCTTATAAATTAGACAGTACTTTCCAAATATCGACCATTTGTCTTTCAGTACATTAACTTTAGAATTCATCCCTTTCGTCCAGTCAAAGGCTGATGTTTGAAAATGTTACAAATCGTACATGTTGGGGTTCAGAATAGTGATGATAGAATAAGAACAGATGTAACAGATTAATTGTTAATCTATTCGATACTTTAACGAAGCATTTGCCTTTCACTAAGTCAGTACTTGCTGATATGATTTTTGGTTTCACCCTAGAGTTTTTAGGAAAACGACTTGGTTTAACGAATATTTTGAAGCATGTCATTTGTCAAAAATTGATATTCGTGTTTCATTACACTGTATCTCCTACCTTATTACTTTTGTCAGGTCATAAAAGTATTTTAGATCAATTTCAAGATGAAATAACGCTCGTTAATATCAATTGGTTCTCTATATTTTCATGATATATGTTAGATGTAACACACTATGACAAGTCAATTATCGAAGCAAAATACTGAGGTCCCTTACTCAAACATAATTACGTGGTTTGAGATTTGACATTACCTCAAATAGAAACATTGAATCTCAGTCATCTCATAAATTAATCAATAAAAAATGATTTTTAACTTTAATTGTGATATTAATCAATGATAGTCAACCATGAAGTTCTGATTTTGACCGACATTGACAAAAATAGTAATAAGATAAACATGGGTTTTAACAAAGGCATACATTTTGACGCATGAATAGTCAGTTCTTATAATTTGCATCATGGACACATCCTAGTCAGACAACCATCGAAAATTAGCTAGGACTAGACGGCCATTTCGTTCTAATATGGAGATTGTCATCATACTCATGAGCATACCTAAGATCGAACCTTCAGGTCTCGACGAGAGCGCTTAACCTATTGACCACTGAGCCTCTATCCATTGGTTTACCTGATTGTGCAGTATCGCGAATTGGTTTAAGTTAATCATATACACCGCAGGATGCTGGCAAGACGGTCTGCAGGTTAAGTACTTGCTGAGAGTCCAGAAGTTCCCAAGTTCTATCCAAGGCAAGGGCGTCGATATGCCCTAACGAGGAGTTCCGTAATAAGGCAAAACAGCTAGCTAGTCCTTATCAACTTTCAATAGTTATCTTACTAGGTTCAGTTGATGATGTCAGCTTTGAAAGTCAATAATCTTCACAAGTGCTCTATAGTAATTAAAAATTATTTTTGTTGATTAAATCATTTATATTTTTGAATATATGGTAGTTTAGTGTAGAAAATAAAATCTTTTTGTTTTTTTTTCTGTAAAATTAATCATCAATTTTAATAATTGTAATTAATCTAATTGTCGTTCAAGACAAGGAACAACTGCAATTAAAAATGTTAGGAAAGTAATTGCACTTCCAGCTAATAAACATGTTGATGGATGAGGTATTTTTCTGGTTCCATAAAATTGTGAATTAATATTAGCCAATGTTGCTGCAGTCATTGCTAAAATAACTGAAATAAATAAGAACAATGAATGAATAAACAAATTAGTACTGACAGATATACATTTTTAGTGTAAGGTTTTAAGGAGATTATAGAATTTGTATAGATTTTATAACACACGACTCAATGGTCTAGAAGTGAGCGTTCTTAAGAGAAACTAAGGGTCTTAGATTTGATTCCTTGATGTGGATTGTGGAGAAACACTTCTGAAGAGCCCTGTGATCGGATGAAATGTCCACATAGTGCCTCCAGGTTTTTAATAGTAATCTAAGATCAGTTCATAATCTGAGATCTAGAAATTATGCATTTCACCAAAGATATCTTTTGTTTTGCAAATTCTACATGAATCTGATACATTTATATCAGATGAAATAAAAACCCGTCTATACAGACATAGAGTTGGGCATCAGACTGAATCTATATCGTGTTCAAATGTTTGATTTTCTCAATCACAACTTACTTCAATATACTGTGTTATGCTACCAAAAGCAAGTGAAAAAAATTTTGATTAAAAGATATAAGTAACAAAGATACAAATTCAATAGTTTCCAATCGTTTAAGTGATCGCTTTATTGTCACTTACGATATATTGGTTTTCAATTGCTGATGTATCAATAAATAATCAATGAGCTGTCACATAAAATCAGGAAAATCATAGATAATTTAACATAAGAAATAGACTGAAATAGAATTTTTCTAATATTTCATTTTATGCTGTTCGTATCACTAAGTAATTAAGATTATATCTGGAACTTTTATTGCTAAATATTATTGGTTAGAGAGTGGATAACTAACAAGAGTCAGTCGTTTGACGCCGAACCCTAGTTTAAGATGATAAGATGCACACAATATAGATGGATTTCGTCGTTCGCAATAAATTCTTTGGATAGCGTAATGCTCCTCTAATTCACATTACGTAAGCATTGTTATATGTAATAAAATACTTTAGTAGTATCAAAATATGGTAACTTGTTGAGTTACTTTCGAATAAAATTTTCTAATCGCATAAATCAAATTCATACTTTTTCTGTTAGGTTTGATAAAATATATTTCTTATGTAAGTGAGCTGAGATGTGAACCTGAACAAAGTATAAGATTTTATTAGCTAGAAAACCGTGATGAAAGTTAGCGAGATAGTCGCTCACGCGATTAATATGATTACCTCTGTACCAACCCAAATTATTTATCGTTTTTTATAGCAAGATAAAGACTTACACTATTTAAATTATTATTACATTTGTATTTACGGTGACAAAATTCATAGTATCGGTATATTCATTGGAATTAATTGTACTGTTATTCCATGAACGAAATTACCACTGGCAGATACTGACTATCTGTGTATAATCTCTGAGAATCGGTAAAATGAAAGTACTTTAGATATAAATTAAACAGTCTGTGATTTTGTGAGCTACGATGGTGTGATCAGAAAAATGTAATTTACAAAGTGTTTTACTTTAGGAATTTAACATTAAAATGAAGATCTAGCGCAGAAACAAAGTAAAATAGTAACAAAGAATACAACCAATAAATCGATGTAACCTCAGTAAATTTGTTGATTAATTACTGAACAAAGAAACTGCTACACGTAAACTTTGTCCTGTTATATCTTCAACATCTGACTTGTTTTAATGCCGATTAATATACAATCAGAATTATAATGTCAAATTTCATTTTGTTCAAATTGAGATCAATAAATAAACTTTTACATTTCAATCACCTTTATATCACAAGTTGAGATGCTTTCTTAATTCATAAGACTATGTAAATGTCTTGGTTCAACAATTCGTATTCATGATGTTAGATGGATGGACAAATTCAAATCATAGTGATCAGGAATCATAATAATAATTTATATTTAGAAATTTACAACAGACTACGAACCAGTTTACGAACGTTACTAGATTGATAGAAATTGTTGGATAATACTTAGTTTACATCATCTGGATAAATACAAATTTCGGGTAATTTCTTCTAGGATATATTTAGATTAACAAATTTTGGAAAATGAATCTGATGGAGTATATAAAAGGCCGACTGAAATAGTGTTGTAGTATAACATTTGATGTTTACTTACAGTTCAAAATAAAAGTGGCTACCAGGACTCAGTAGCTAAGTGGATAACGCGATGGTGTTTGAAACAAACGGTACTGAGTTCGAATCCCAGAGTGAACATCAACTCTGAGATACAGGTACATCTAGCTGACGAGTCCCAAATAAGATGAAATGCGAGTCCTGGATTCCACTGCTAACCACTATCCATCCTTGCATATAATTCTTGTGAATTAAAACAGTATCGAGGCAATACGCACAGTATGCACATATGTCAATAACAGACTGGTCAATTGCAGTCCTAAATATCAATGAGAAGATTCAAGTGAATTAAAATACAGGATCGACTAAAATAAAATTGTCTTTAGTTTCTAAGTGATTCATTGGATACTTTTTGTATGAAAAAAGGTATACACTCTCCATATATTGTACTTGAAAGCTTCTTAGCAATAAAACCATCTATATGCTTATTCACATCAATTTACTGTATCCGTTCACCTATTTAGGTCGTGGGCAAGTTGAGAGATACTCTCGAATACAATCAAGTATGACAACGCAAAATTTAGGTTAATTATGATGTCTAATTGTGGTACAATTTCATATTTGAATATCTAGTAACTTCTTACATTTAAACTAAACTCGAGAGAATAATACCAATACAAAAAATTCCAGATTGTAGGCTTCAAATATTACTACACTTGTGTGAGGCTGAAATACCATAGTTACTAATTGAGGTAAGGTTAACATTTTTTTGAGCCAGTAAAATATCACAGAAATTGACCATCATTCCACATTGAAATATTGAGCTAATTAGTGAATTCTAATCAAAATAATTGAATAACAGTGTATTTTACTACAGAACATAAAAATCAATATTCAATTATCAAAACTGTACTAATTTAGATTATTTTCATTATCTTTCATTAAAAGTCATTTAAGGACAATTTAATTAATTTAAAATACATAGAAAATATGATTAATTAACGATACACTTACAACTTAGAATTATGAGACCAAATAAACATTTTGTACATAATTTTTGATATTTATTAATTATGAAAAATTGTATCACATCAATTATCATTGCAATTAGAATTGTTCCAATTGCAAGTATATTGAATATTTGTTGGGCTAAATCTTTAGCTGATTGATTTTTTGCTGAATATTTGAGGGAAAGAAAAAGAAAAAAAAACGAATAAAATGGTCATGCTTTTTTTCTTTTGAAAAAAAGAAAAATAGAGGATTTTAAAAATACAATTAAAGGTTTTGTTTTTATTTTTTATTATTTATGAAAATGATGAAAATAGTTGTGTGTTGTAGTGTTATACAAAAGCCTTCAAGGACGTATACTAAGGTTTATTGAAGCCTTGGCTATACGGAAACTGAAACCCCCTTTATGTGTTGAAAAACAATTTGTCCTTACACTTAACCTACCCTGGTAATACTGATTCATTATCCAGAGTGGTAATCACGTTTATTTTTGTGTACTTTAATACTTTTTCCTTTGTTATGACTTAACCTTAACCTGTCTAGTTGACCTTTTAATTTCATATATAAATGCTCTTAACAAGTATATGTGTGATCAGATAGTTCGAAATGTATTGAGATAATATATCACATAATTCTGATAAACTTCGTCTTCTCAATGCATTATCGAAATTAAATATTTCTGTTGTTTATTTTATGGATCGACTTTTTGATCTCCTTATGAATGTCACCAACAAGAAGCCACTAGTCTGGCACGCAAGAGTGATAGGTCCTAGGTTCGAATCTCGTGAGGCGGGGTCGTGGATGCGCACTGGTGAGGAGTCCCACGATAGGATGAAACGGCTGTCCAGCGCTTTTAGGTTTTTCATGGTGATCTAGCTTAAATTGGCTCATGATCTGAACTACTAAAATTACTGTTAAAAACAGTTAATAAAATTTAGATCAGTGGCTATTTAGACTCAAGAGTTCAGTGGATCTTGGGAGTTTGAAATGAAGGTAGTTAAATTCGAGTCACGGTGTGAATATCAATACTGGAATGCAAGTAAACCTGACTGATGAGTCCCGAATAGAACGAAATGTGCATTTGGGATTCCAATTTCCATATATGATAATACAGAACACTCTATGGAGAATTTTTAGAAACTGGACATAAGACTAACACTTCTTCATACACCACAACCTATTGTTTAATCCAATTATCAGAGTTTCACTCTGATAACTTGGTAATTCAAAGTTATCCAACGGTCGGATGTTCAGGTTGTTTGGACAACTGTAAGTTATAATAATGTGTAGATATTTGAAGCAAAATATGCTTTATTTATCACTTACCGACTATCGATTGACAAACAATTTGTCTTGGTTGCTAACATTAATATATAGATTTCTATATTCTTCTCGTCTTTCTTAATATAAGTTTTTAAGGATCAATTATACTAATCATCAATGTGCATATGCCACGACTTAATTAAATCAGATGAAATAGAGTTAAATGGCTGGAATTATTTTCAACTATTCCATATGTACATATATCGCAGTTTGACACTCAGAGTGAATGACACAATCATAGTAACAGATGTTAAAACGAAATCTTTATTGATTATTACTCTCTATTATGTTGTATTCATCCATGGAATAAATGGAAAAGTGACCTAATATCTTCGATAAGATAACCTGAGTGAACATAAAAAGATTACAGGTAAGCCCAAATAATAAGTTTATTTCATTTTCCCGATATTACATTCCCACATTAAAATAACGTTGTTCTGTTAGTCAAAGCATTAATCTGTTTGGTACTGCAAATCAGTATGGCACTCATATCTACTGAATGTTTAACAAGTTGTACAAAGAAGAGCTTCAGTTTGTTTTGATAAAAACAAATAAAATACAGCTTATCCAAACATTTACATGTTCTGAATGTTAGATATTACTCAACTTATGATATGTACATACACTGAATTCTGGAATTATTTTACAGTTTAACTTTTCAGTTTAGTATTGTGATGTGAGGTACTTATATCTACATAAGTATTATATGATGATGATCAGGAATATAATGTATTTCAGTAGAAGATTGAGAAGGAAACGATGAGAAAGGAAAGTAATTGGTATGAAAATCCACGAAAAGTGAAATCTGAGACGATTGATTGATATATTTGCAAATTAACTACATACTGTATGGTCCTCGGATTTTAGTGAGATACTCTGTAATTTCGTGTTCAATTACATTCTATTGTTCTCACTCGTGTTCTCATTCGCTACAGCATAAGCTCTCATTTGGACATTTAGAAAATAAATCAAAAGCGAGATAAGAAATTATTTTCTTTTCGTTTCAATTAGTTTTACATCATGACATTACACTAATATATAAGTATTTCAATAGTTGAAATCATGAATCAATTGAAGCTAGACCACCATGGAAAACCTGGAAGCACTGGACGGCCGTTTCGTCCTAGTATGGGACTCCTCAGCAGTGCGCATCCACGATCCCGCCCCCCGCGGGATTCGAACCCAGGACCTATCAGTCTCGCGCCAGGTGCTTAACCAAGAATAGTAAAATTGTCGCTAATTAAATGGTAGTAGGCTAGATAACAATACCATAAAATCAAAAGCGTTTGTTAAAATAACTGTGAATGATTGACTAAGAAATTAGAAGCTACATTAAAATAAAATAAACTTTTGTTAATCAAAATTACACCTGTAACAGTCTATTTTAATGTAAATATGGTTTAAAAACAAGAAAATACGAACCGAACTTTCATAGTGTTATTTAAATAAATCAATTTTTACATAAGTTTTGGCCCTACTGACAGAGTACTCTAAATGAATTTATTGTTTTAGTTGTAATCCACCCTACTATGATAATTTGCCCGAAAATTGGAAAAGATCGTTATGTAAAAAGAATTCATCGATATTTAAAATGTAGGATCTAATGACTATTAAGTAGTGACCAGTGTCACGTTTGTCTAGTCCTTTAAGCTGATCCAATTCAATCTATCAAGTTATAACCTAACCAACAGTTTAAATGAATCAACATCGTGAGAGTTATATTGCGATGTTAGCTGGTTAGATGTAGTCGGTAGGAAATCCTGGACATAGGTTACGTACTATCCCGCAATTTTAAGGAAAGTTTAACTGAAATTTTCTAGAAATTGAGAATTACTGTGGGATTCTAACGTACATTATCCGGTTTCACTGTCTGAGACGTTACCACTGACCTATTTAGGTTGCTACTGGATTCCTATAGAAATGGGATATTTACAATTGACCGATCGCTAAGCAGTGACCAATGTCATACCAGAGGTGTAAATATCAAAAGATTTGTAGATTCACGCACAAGTAATGTCGTATATCAAATGGTTGTATAACCAATGCGTAACGTGATCATTCATTGAAATCACATGATAAAAAATACCATACATAATTTACAATGCTAATTACATAAGTATTGGATAGTTTAAATGTTCTGTTGATTTATGTAGTCATGTAGACCAGAATGGTTTTGGTATTAATTAATGCAAAAAAATACAACCTGATACACCGAAATGATTAAGTTAAAACCATACTCGCAAAAGAAAGATATTGTATTCTTTTTTTTATGAGAAGCAGTTTTTGTGAAAAAAACAAGTTTCAGTTCATAAATTAAACGTAGCAAGATAAACCGAGAAAACCAGAAAACTTTAAAACGTTGTTTTATCTTAGTGTTGAAGTCGAGAGTAAAAAGCATGTACTACGTTAACGGGAATCAAACCCAATGTTCTATTAATGGTCTACAAATGAACATTAATATTTGTTATTGTTGAAAGTATATATGTAACAGCCTAAGTGTGACGAAAATCTTGAAAATTATGTAAGACATTTTTGCATAAATCTACTGCATTATCAGATAGAAATCTGACAATTTCTAGACTATTTTTGTTTCCGGTGAAAAAAAGTATTTCACTCAGAAAACCTTATATTAGAGATTGTATTGAATGATTAAAAATGTAATTAGTTTCTTTCTTGCAGTGGTCACCGATCAATGTTACGGCATTAAAATGTCCTCCCCAAACCTATTGCCGATCTGTGACGAAAACCATATTCAAAAAAATAAGTTCTTTTCATAAAGAAGTACATAATTATGATTACCATAATACAATAATAACAAGTTTATGTAAGATTCTTTCAAGTGATCTGTTAGAGTGATCAGTTGTAATTATCATATAAGTCTACTCGTTATACTGCAGCATTTTAACCATCAGTTTGGCATTAATGCTGACAAAATGATAAAGTTGAGTGTTTTAAAAATATCTCTCGACATTGATCGGTTTGTAAGAAACTTAAATTATATAAATTAACCAATAAGTCAATTGCATTATCTCAAGTTTACCATAAAATCTTATTGAGAATAACTTAACTCAGGCTATTCGTCATAGATTTTCAAAGTGAATTTATTAGTTTTTCAGTACCTTTCAGTCAAGCGTCAAAAAATAAAGTTTTTCTGGAGGGCGGATAAATTATAACCTCAAACTTAAACTACCTACTTTGGTCACTGCCTATATCACAGTCATCTAAGTGATAGTGATCTCATAATGGTAACTTAAGGACATCTTGAATATTTCTACTTGTCAATCAAACAATACATGTATTTAACTTGCGTATACCATCTAATAACTAATAGAAATACTACTTTATCATATAATAATTCTGATGTGAAAACTGCGAAGGAGTCTATATGCATAAATATTACTCTGTTGATTGATCGCTTTTAATTATACAGACAGTGACAGCAATTATCTTGTATTTACATAATATCTCATTGACAACTTAAAAACAATACAACATAAGGAGTTTGGTCAAAATTACATGAATTCATATGAGCTGGTTGAGATTCTTACTAAATGCCAACGAAATATCACATAACAGTTTCAGCAAAGTAGAATGCATCCCGGTGCTGTTTGGTAAGTGGAGTTTTCACAGTATATTTACTGCTTTTTCACTGTTGGCAGATGTTCACCAACGTGGTCTTAAACCTAGTGGGTTCATTAGGTGAAGTAAGTACCAAATCTTGTTTGTGTAAATAGATTTTCAAACTGCACATCTGTATCTAGTTGATTTATTTTATTTCCATAGTCGCAAAATCTAGGGACGAGCGACAAAGCCTCTACTTACACTATGTCTAAGTTAACACTAGAAAAGTTATGAACGTACCGCTCAGTGTCCATAGGAACAGCACCGGCATGTTGCACATATGCTTAGGAAAGACAACTCTCTAGTTCTAATGAACAAAGCCGATTACATTAACAAAATTAACTCGATTTTAAATGATCCAACTAAATTTCAAAAACTCAACGACGTGAAGGAGATAAATATGAAGGCAGAAAAATTGCTGACTAATTCACTTAAGGAATTTAAAAAAAAAGGTATACTTACTCCAAACATACATGACTCACTTAAACTCACGGGGTCGAACACACCGCGACTATATGGTTTGCCCAAAAATCACAAGACAGGTCTTCCTCTTCGCCCCATTTTAGATATTGATAATCCGCCCTATCATAAAACTGCAAAGTGGCTAGTTCGAATCCTAGACTCCTTACACAAACTAGTCGTCAACAGAAGCGTGAAAGATGTCTTCTTCTAAAGTGGAACATATGAGCTTATATGGGAAACGTATGATGTCTTTAGATGTTGCTTCCCTGTTCACCAATGTACCTTTAACAGAGACTATTGACTTTGTGTGCCAACAACAACATGAAAAACAAATCAATATTCGAATTCCTAAGGTTAGTTTCAAAGAATTACTTTTGAAATGTACAATGAATGTCCATTTTGTCTTTAATAACACATATTATAGACAAATTTATAGTATAGCGGTGGGTTCACCTCTAGGTCCTATCCTTGTGGATTTTTTTTGCGAAACTAGAAAATGGACCTCTCAAAGTGGTTATCAGTAAGCTTGACTTCTACTTTTGTTACGTTGATGACACTTTCACTATTGCCGATCAGAACATTAGAAAAGAAGAACTATTAAAACTATTTAACAACAAACATCCAGCAATTAAATTTACATGTGAAGAGGAAATAGAAAATAAACTACTTTTCCTTGACGTTTTGTTAAATAGAAAAGAAAATGGTTCTATGAGCAGAAATGTGTATAGAAAAGTTTTTCATCAAGCCAATACACACATTTCTTCAGCTTTGTATTTCTTCATTATAAGAGAAACTTAGTTAAATATCTGGCTGTTAAAGCTATTAAGATATGCTCAGTCGACACAATTGATAAGGAACCAGAGCTCATTCATAATATGCTGATTGAAATGGGATATTCACAGGGATTCCTGAAGAAACACTTTAGTGTTCGATCTCGCCTCTTACACATAGCAGAAGCTGTAGGAATTCAAGCCAACAATCCAAGTCTTTGTGTTCATAAGATATTTGTAACACCCTTATCTTTCCCTTGGCCTTAATAAATGAATTTTTCCGTTATTCTCTTCGTTTATTGTTTTTTTTCTTCACTCCCTACCACCATTTTATTTTATTTTCTCTCAAATATACGTTTCACGGTTCAATTATCTGAACACTTCTTATTACATCATCTTATAATTTCTTATAAATGTTATCACACTGTCTATATTTTTTCTAACCACTGACCTATTTCCGATTATGTAACATTGATTTAAGCCTTTATTATTTTTATCAAAACTAGTACACCTGTCATCCTACTATCAATTTGTACTTTTCACTTATTATGTAATCGTTTTCATTGTTATCGTTGACTCATAAACGACCTTGATTGGTTTAAATAATTTCGTATATGCATATAAATATTACTGTATATTAGAGTAAAGCCTGATGAGGATCTAATCGAAAACATTGTTCGCTTATATATGTTGTTCTGAATGTCGTTTTACTTACTGACATTCGACCAATTAGAGGAAGGCGATGTTTAAAAGATAAAGAAGAGAACTTAAGAAGTTTAACTTATGAATAAGCTTTATCTAAATATCTTCCTAGTAAAACAAGCACTAAATATGAATTGTAAAATATCTTTACTTTAGCGTTTGTTGTGACTAAGCGTTTAGACCGTTCTGCGCTTAAATTGTTCAGTTATTAAGATTAGTGTTAAATAAAAATGTCAAACTAAGTTTGCGGAAATTAGCTTAACTTTTTTATTGAAATCGTGAACCGATTGATGTTAGATCACCATTGAAAACCTGGAAGCACTGGATGGCCGTTTCATCCTATTGTGGGACTCCTCAGCCATACTTGCATTCGTAGTAAAATAATACGCATGTTACTACATAATCTAACTAAACCATATAAGGAACTAAAGAAGCCTCATTGTTTAATGGAACAGGTGAAAATATTTGTACTAAGATGGATTGGAACTAATAATCATCAATTGTTTGAGACTTTAAATTTTATCCCTCATTATTCATTTGTTAAACGACAATTAACTCATTGTCATACTGTTTCGGTTGAATACTTCGTGCCAAAATATTAATTTTAGTTTTATGATGTGTATTCCCTTATGTCGTCACAAAAAAGGTAAATTTTAAAACTGATTCACTAATAACCACTTATTCAATGGTATTATAGTCACTACGTTCTCTAAAAATTTAAATGGAATATTCAGTTTATAAAACTCTATGGTTTATTCATATATACACATAAAAATACACAGCACCAGTGTGGCCTACATACACAAACTTTTAACTGGTTTCAAAAGTTTTTTTAATAATGTAGCTAAACATTATGCCAAGCACTGTATAGCACGTGTTACTTATCTGAATGGTTCATACGTAGGACCGCAAACATGCCGTCCATACTAGATGCATAAAATAGTCTGAGATTACTGAGATCGAACAAACATAACTTAGCTAATATAATACACTCTAGCTCACAAATAAATGGATTAATACTATTTCATATGACTCTCCTCTTTGATATATTTTCTTTTTTCGGATCAGAAAAAGTGGGGGAAAACTCCTACACATAAGCCTCATGCTAATTAGTCCTTGCTAGAAAGATTTACCTGTAATCTTATGGGAAATGATCCTCCTAGCGGGAATCGAACCCCAATCAATTTTTTTCACCCTGTATCGAATCATGTAGACTAGTGACCAGAATGGAACGTGATCAATACAATTTGAACATCACTTAGGATTAGAAAAACATGACATTTGTCTTTACTCAAAGATCAATCAATTAATATATAAATATAATATGCCTTATCCTGGCAAATCAACTTACTTAAATTCATGCCAAATTAATAAAAAAAACAGGCTATATGTAAGTAGGAAGACACAATTCTACTTTTAAAATTAGAATTTGACTAATTAATTGATTAAATGAAATACACTTACCAAATAAATTATCATCCATGATAAGAGATGTGGCTAGAAAGTATAAAGATAGAAATAATGCTACTAATAAAATGTAATACGGTAATCTAACAAAGTGTTCTCCATGTTTATGTTGTCCGTAATGATTGCGATGTTGATGGCGAGTATCAGAAAGATGCTCTGATTGTAATGATGACGATTTACTCTGCATTTTCATTATATAGATATGTATAAAACTCAAAAATTAATTCGTTTGGAGGTATTCATTCACACCATAGTATTAAAAATTCAATAATATAGTTATTCATCGATTTAACATTACAAGTTATCCAATCACAATTATCAATATAGAATGTATGTGTATAAGCATGTGTATTGCCCTATTTGTAAATGAGAAACGAAACATAAAGGTGACCAATATAACTTAATCATTTTAGTGAATTATATCACAGACACTATAACAATAATCAAACTTTATATATGAAACAAATATGATAATTATGAATAAAATGTGTTTGGCCTGGAAAACATATTAGACACTTTTACATCTCTTTTCTTAAAAGAAACACATTCATTTCTTTTAATGGTTGTGAAAATCAACTTTAAATTGACTTTTTAAATCGTTAAGCTAAATATCCAGTCTATTTTCAATGATAAACAAAAGTTAAACTGTGATTTCATCGTCTATATAAGTTAAATATTCTATTGAAAAAATAAGAGAACAAAAGCATCATATCACTCATTTGTCAATAAAAATTACTTAACGATCGAGAATCTGAAGAAAGATGGCAAACCGAAATCAAATTTATAAAAAACAATCAACCACTTGATGAGCATAGGAAGGGTGAAGAAGAAATTTAAAGTGTGGAGGTGATAATAACGAGTAATTAAAATTAAGGAGATGGAAAATAATAAAAAGATGTATTAACAATCAAATTGCCGTTTTCGAAAATCACGTTTTAGAGAAATTCCGTTTTGAAAAGGTGAATTGCTCATGTCTCTGATGTGCAAAAGTTATCAAGTTGCTCTCTTCCTAAACTAGATTATTCGACTGGATAAATGATTCTATCAAATTGAGCAAGGGAAGCCGAGTAACCAGAGTCCATAAGTAGTTCTAATATTGAACTGCTGATTGCTTACAATTATCTTTCGAAAGCCATGCAGGATTATGTTCGGAGGTGCGTTTGATAAGCACTCGCTTTATGTGGGAAATTTTACCTACTCCACATGAGCAAATGAACTAATCAATACACTTTGAAGAAACAGTGGTTTATTTTTAACATAATGCGAATAATGGAGAGACGATGCAAAGCTTGATCTCTGCAAACTTGATGACGCCTCAAAAGTCAGAATACTTCTAAGAAAACTTGAGACTATGGAACATGAACGCTATAGTAACTTCATTCTCCCGAAGAGTCCGCGAGACTTTAGTTTTGATGAAACAGTTAAAACTCTGTCTCAAATCTTTGGAGAACAATCATCTCTATTCAATGTCCGTTACCAATGCTTGAAGATAACGAAAGAACCGGGAGATGATTGGGTGAAACATGCAGGAATTGTGAACCAAGAATGTGAGAGGTTCAAATTGCCTTCCGTGACTGAAGACCAGTTTAAATGTCTAGTATTTGTCTGTATCCTGCATTCACCCGGAGATGCTGACATCCGAACAAGAATCCTAAACAAGCTCGAACATTGTCCTAACATGACCCTACAAGAAGTAGCTACCGAATGTCAAAGGTTAGTGAATTCGAAGCATGATACCTCGATGGTAGAGAACAGTAACTGGTTCCCTTATGTCAATGCACTTGAGAGGAAAGTCTCACAAGGTTCCAGCACGCAGAATTATCGTGATGACAGCGACAAATCATCACCCCCATGCTTGTTATGTGGCGGTTGGCACTTCAAAAAGTTTTGTCCGTTTAAAAATCATCGTTGTACTATGTGTTCCAGAAAAGAGCACAAAGAAAGTCATTGCAAAACCCGAAAACGCCGTCAACAGTAAATGTATTCTAAAAGGTTCAACCCGGAAACAGCTAAAGTAACGGTAGCTCTTCACCAAGCCGGCTCCCATACCCGCAGAAAGTATGTTTCTCTCAAGATTAATAGGTATGATGCCCGTTTACAATTAAACACAGCCTTCAGATATAACGCTTACACGAAGGAGAACGTGGGAGATAATTGGGAGACCGCGGATATATTCAACTCATCAACCAGCCCATAGTGAGTCTGGGGGAATTCTAAACATTGCTGGTGAAATTCATTGTGAAGTCACAGTCAAAGAGTTTACAGAAAAGGGTGTAATATTTCTAACAGACCGTCCATCGCTCGACTTATTGAGGCTTGATTAGATAGAAAGGTTGAATTTAAAAGACCGCCCCATAAACTCGATCTGCAACAACTTCAGTACGTCGAAAGTTGAGGACACATCTAAAAGAGCACTACTGAAACGGGAAGGAGATGGGACAAGTCAGCCTAACCCTATTGTCCCAGATGGAAAATCCTCTGCTAAAGCGATGTTCGGGAGAAGCATCCGAACTATATTCGACGTCATGTTACCACCTAAACCAGTGGATGGACGCAGACAAAATCAGAATATCCGTAGTTTTAACGTCGTCAAATCATACATTGGGGAAAATTGTTGGGAATCGGGAGTCATTGAAAAGAGAATGAGGAATGTTTTGTACAAAGTGCGTGGGACTTTCAAAATGTGGATTGGACACACTAATCAAATACACAGAAATGAAATTCAGAACTCAATTCTAATTTCAATGAAAATTTAATTGATTGATGAGAAGTATTGAACTTATCCTGTATGACATTGAGGTGGGTGTTTTCATCATAAATAATAAAACGTATTCCATATCTCTTTTATAATTGCAGCCGTCAGTGATTGGTTGAAGTACTGTACTATTAAGACTGGTGATGAAACGGTCTTCTAAGAAGGGCCGAGTGGTTAACCTATGTCTACGCTGTCAGTTTGTCTGTAAAACTCAATATTGAATCTAAACTGAACTTTGAAGGTAAGAGCATTTCTCTTAGTGTTTTAAAAAGCCAATACCAAGTCTTTTTTCAACATAATCACAAACGAAATAAATGATCTCTGTTAAAGGAACATCTGTGAAAGTGAAGCAACATCTAATTATATCATTTTCATCCTGATAATATTGATATCAACAATTGAATGGACAATGTGATATGAGTCTAGTGCACTATTTTTTAATGCTGGACTTGAATCGCATTTAAAAATCTACAACTAGGTGTCAAACAGTTGATGAAACACCAAAGACCAACAAACGCCGCCTTTGGAAGTAGGTGGGATCTGTGTCAGATATCGGAGAGCCTATAAACTATCAAAATTGGACTGCTTGTTTTCAAATAAGTAAAATTTCCATATCTGCTCCTCCATATATAGCAGCGATTACTGTGCAGTTTATTAGCTATCTACAAAACTGTAGGGCCAGTGAAATGTCGATGAGCTCTAGCCATATCATCTGGCAGTTGATTCAGTGAACATCGAACAGATCGTCATCCCTGTCAAGGTCAAAGAACAACTATGCTCATCAGTTAATCGTACCCAATGAACTGGTCCATGTGGGGGTGGTCGAACTCTCGCTTATACTTATCCTAACCAATATATTTCCGTAATAACGTCCTTTAGGTTGTGCGGTCCTCAAAACGTACATAATATTTTGATACGTCGAAGGGGTAATCCACGTTAGGTTCTGACTCTACTAATTCCATGTTTCAAGCAAACCCGAATGGCTGAAGCCTTTGTATTGTGAGTTAGAATTTCATTTAGTATATCACACTGCTATCAAGTTAACTAATGGTTTACGTTACAAGATCCTGGTCAGATGGCACATGGTTTGGAGAAGATAAGGATATACAGCAGATAAGAGAATATGAAAGAAGAGTTTAGTGTTGCGAAATTTCATTCAAGTCCACAGTGTTGTCATTCCCATTCTCTTCAAACGAGACGATAATCTCGTAAACCAAGTACAAAGACGACTGATCAGTCTAAAACATAAATTTTACGAGGACAAACTCCAACACCTGAGATTACTTTCATTGAGCTACAGAAGAACAAGAGGCGATCTGATAATGGCACTCACATGTAAATCACCATCTCCCTCTTGTACCAGCATTGTCTGATGCATGTTTGATAAATTAACATGCATATCATCACCTCATATCAGTAACTGATATCCATGTCCCTTATTATCATTATTTCCTGTATTATTTTTCAATTCCGTCTTCCTACACATTACAAATTAAGTGAATTATTTACTTATTTTTGAGACAATTTTCTTCTCTCAACACTCAAATTATCATTTTGTTAATTTACATTGCAGCCAACTAGCCTCCTGCCAGGAAATGTGATAACGGCTGGTATCCAGAATCCCCACTTTCCTAAGATAAATGCACTCACTCAACTACAAGATGTACAGACCCGCAAACAACTGTCACACTGACTAGAATTAGTGCAGTCGAGTAGTTAGACTACCACCCATAGCACGTAACAGAATACCCAGAATCGTACCGAAACAACAGGAAGTAAGTGTAAAGAAATAGATCAGTTGGTACAAGCTCATGACGAAGATACTGAGTATATTTGCAGATAGCAAACCACTTAGAGAGAGAGGCTTAGGTGATGTCCCTGGTCTTGAACATAAAAGTCATGGGATAATGCATCTTACAATAAGACATATTTATCTCAAACATATTTAGTGTTGCTCGTGTATACCGAGACAGAAGCTTGACAAGATAAGCCTAGCGGTAAAAAGTAACTCATGTAAGGTTTCTAAGTAGTACGATAGCGTCAAATTCCACCCAATAGTTGAATAAGTCAAGTTAATGATCGCAGCATTTGGTAAACGGCCTGGACATGAAACCCAACATGGTAATCGTTATCTACTAACATTAAACGCGAAAAATCATCTCCATGCCTCACAACCACACAGCAACGTAAACCTGAACAGTACACCTTCTGTATTGTTACTCTGCAAGGATAAATTGATGGATGAATCTGCAGGGTCAGCGAAATTTCACTGAGCCCTAGCCAAATCATCCGGCAGTTAAGTCTTTGGATATCAAGCAAATCATCGATCCTTGTCAAGGTCAAGTATTACCAACGCGCATCTGTTAATCGTACACCATGGACTGACCCATGCGTAGTGGTCTTACTTTCGCTTGTATCTACTTTAACTAATATATTTCTGTAATAATGTCCTGTGTGTTATACAGTCTTAAAAGCATCTATGGCACCTTGATACGTCAATGGGGTAGTCCACGTAAGGTGCTGACCATGAGGTGTGACTTCGACGTTAGCTGGTTCGTCACACCATTTCCGTCTAACTCGAGTAGGCCTCTGATCACTTGACATAGATCATCTACGTTGGCGATCTACAAATCTTGTCATCTAAAATCATAACTTCGATCAGTTAGAACAACGGATCGTGACTATGTAGTATCTCAGCTATCATCCATTGTAAACATGAATCAAGGACATATGTCTTTGCATGATTCCAAGCATGAACGACGAGATTACTAGTCCGAGATTCATTAACTTTGTGGATTGAGTGATACATATTAGTGAACATCTTCATCAGTTCTTCATTCTCTGTGGGACTTTGCATGCTGTGCACTGCACGGAAAACCAAATCCATTATTCAGTTCCCTGTTCAACAATCGCTATATTGAAATGAATATGACTGTTATAGTAATGCACACTTAAGTCTAAGAATGAAATCTTTGGCATAGGCATACAAAATATGGCTACACAGCAACATATAGTCATTGAAATACTCACAAGCACATCGTGCACACAGTATCAATCACACATATTATTCCGTTGTCGTAGCAGAGGATGTTTTCTCCAGCTACCACTTCGTGTTTTATTCTCCTAACCCATTTGTGACAACAGCTACAATTCCAGCTGAGAAAACTGTAGGCCCGTTCAAAAGAATTTGAAACTGATAACACTTGTAACCAAATTTCGTACCTCAAGATTTGAGGAACGTTGAAGACGCTTGCGTTGCATGAACTCAAACCTAGGTCAGCGTCCGTCCTACTAAAATCTTCGCAGAACACAACGTCTTCGCATCGTTGTCGCCTGTTCGCGTCGTGGTGGTGTGCGCTTGCCTGAGACCGTCAGATACGACTAGCTGGAACAGTGTAAAACTTCAAAATAAAGTTGTTGTGATTTGTTACCTAGACAACTTTGTTGATCTGATGAGTCGAGTAGATATACATAACTCCTGAAAACGAGTTGTAAAATGCTGTTTGCTTTCAGTGACTACAGTAAATCATAGATATATTCCGAATTTCGGAATACTTCTACTTCTGTGTTTAAAGTGACGCACTGTAAAATAGCTTTTATACGTCTAGTGTCCAAGATCAATTAATGAGAGCGTACTATTGATAACCTCGATACAACTGTGACGGTATTTCGGTGACACAACGATAGTTTGATGTAAGTCTTTTTATGAGTTAATTGCAGTAACCAGGGTCATATCTAGCATACACACAAATATACGTAAGAATTATTTGGTAAATTGCTGGTTTAAGAATCTGGGATTTAGTCATTTCTACCACAGACATGTAAGTCTAACACAATTACTAGTCCGTAGGTTACTTAAATATATGAGTGTTGTTGACAAAATATCATTCTATGTTGACAATAGCACAGTACTACATCACTACACTCCACATTTTTCAGAATGATGAACTCTGATGTGTTCCAGAAACTGCACAAAGTAACATGAACATATAACCGTATATATATTTATTGGATATTGGATAACTGTACAGCGGTAAACACACCAGGCGCGCTGCGGTAAGATATGTTTTGTGCTATTCAAGATTTGGTCACTGATACAACTGAGAGTAGAATGTTCTTCTCTCTAGTTATCTTTCGTGATATAAATAAGCTCTTTGATTGCTCTTCTGCGACAAAAACATCACTTGGCTTTGTGTTCAGGTGGCATTTCTCGATAACTTCTCAGCGATCGTCGGGATCTCATCACTATTATGCATCAGCTGATAGGCATGCTTGTCCAACCTGTGATTGTTCAACTGATTCTGTCAATGACGTTGAACAGGCTGTCGTATATATATATATATATATATATATATATATATACAACTCAGTTTCAGTTTGGAAAGGACAGGAGGCTTGATGGCCTGTCTTAGTCCTCGTGGATGTTCTCAGAGCTATCAAGGACAGGTGTAAATTCTTGATCTTCACAGCAAGCAATCAAGGGGGTTTTGTCATCTGATAGCCTGTGGTTGCGGGGTATTCATATAACTTCAACTATTATACATAATTAGCTGTCTTAATGGGAACACCGACTTCGATTTTGAAGTATCCATTAGGTCATTATGAATACACTCTGCACATTAATTACGCCACAGCTCGAGCGGAATTTCGCTTTATGGTTCATCGCATAGCAGTGGTTTGTCCAGCTATTTCTTTCGTAACATTATGCGAAGTTAGATCTCAAATTCGAGAACCTTTTCCTGTCTAAAAGTAATGTGTGGTGAAATAAAATTTGAACTCGCTAAGAAGTGGATTATTGCAGTGATATGCTTATTATTCGATCAAACTCGTCTAAGGATAATTTGCTGCACATATTTTCTTAGATTTTCACCCATTCGATTCTACCGTATATTCTCTTTTGTTGCAGATACGACTGTATGTATCAGTTTAAAGAATTCAAAAATAAGTCAAAGTCCATTATCCAGGCCATAGATTTTTTTGTTGGGCTTTTGCTTTACTTTCTAATGTTTCGAAATTCTTACTGATTTTGCTACTTTGTCTTCAAGCTAGCTGACAACGGAAAAGCATTAGGTTTACTAATGCAGCATAACTGCTCCTGGTTTTCTTGATGTCGAACAACTATTTAATGAGTTTTCACGATGATACCATACACTTTGCATTCTGGGATAATTTAATTCAACAACTTTACTGCCTTATATGTGGAGTTTTTGGTGTGACGACTGTTTTACTAGAAATTTTATTATAATCGTATTATCAATCAAAGTCCTATAATTCCCTGATAAGAATATCTATTTAGACTCACACGACTTGAGGTCATCATGTTCTTTTTTGTCTTTTGATTTTTTTAGTATCTTATTTGACGAGACAAAAGCAACTTGTCCTACAAATTTTCAGGATAGAATTAGACAACCGAGAGATCATATAATGAAAAGTGCGATGTTCCTTGGCAAACTGAGACCATTCCTCAAATCACGCTTTGTAATCCTACGAGAATTTAGCGACAGTTCTGAAAAAGTTCCCTTTTATAGCACGAAACCAAGGTTGTTTTTATTTTGCGTTTATTTTTATATATAATATTTTAATAAGAAACGAACAAGTAAGAGATTTCAGAGTGCAGTTTTCTGTTTGTTCAAAACAGTAGTTTTATCCAGGAAGGTTATACCACCGATTGTAAGTAACCAATATTGAACGAATTCGGTAGCTTAACAGCCATATCCTAGCAATAGCTCTCTGTGTTGTCCTACACTGGATTTTGAAGTCATCAGTAACTGATAGAACTGAACATATTCTTCAACCACCTGTGTCCACCTTCACAACCGTAACTATTTAAATACTTAAACTAGATGAACCACTTTACTATAATTCGACGTCTTAGCAGATTTCCAGTCTGAGATTTAAATTTGCAATTCATACTTTATTTATATATTGCAGACTTGCCCTTCGTTTCTTAACCACGAACCTGCCCTTTTCAGGTTTATGTACAGGGATTACATTGAGCGAGATTTTGAAGGAGAAAAGAAAGGCCAGTTACTAATGACTTTTTTCTGGGCTTGGATTACTTATTTCCTCATTAACCATTCTGAAGAATTAACTGTAAGTGTGGTATATTTTTAACCCTTTTTTCCAGGGCCATGCAGCACTCCCTGACCCTAAGACGTTTACTGACGATGAACTAGGAGTTTTATAAAAGTTTAGATATGTAACATGCATAAGCATTAGTGAAATATAGTATACACTTGATATTATGAGAACCAATTTCGTCAATTATTACTTATTTGACGCGTATGATTTGGAGTTCTACCGAAATCTTAGATAATACTACTCACGACTCATTAATGATAGTTCATTTGTGAAAAACGTATGACGTCACACTTTTAGTGTTTAGTTGGTAGCTCGTGTGCACATATTCTTATAAGTATCGGAATTATCAAATCACTATTTACCACCATGAAGTTACTGAACTTTAGAAGTGTATCTTTATGTAGACTAAATACCTATATCCAAGCCCAAAAGTAGACAAAATGAGACAAAAAGCTTATCAGTATTTATTGATTGTGAGTCGTGTAGTGATTTGGAACTGTTTTATCTTCTGAAGTTGTGGGATTTTAAATTGGACCAGACTTTTGTGGCCCGAGATCTGACTACAGTTAGATCGGACAAATGGTTGTTATTGAATGATTGCTGTCATGTCGGCTATCCTCGTATACAATTATCGACTTAATTCATGTTATTGAATAACGAAATTAAATAAGCCAAATACGAGAACGAATTTCGAATAAATATATTTCATACAATCGTTGATCCAGACAAACGAGCTGAGAAACGAAATGACACGCGGTGAAGACAAGTGAGCCAACTCGATTTAATCAATATTTATAGCCAGATAAAAATAAGCTACAGATATGTAATGAGTAGGATAAGATGTGCACATGCATACACCCATTTAAAAACAGAATAAATAAACCAAGTGATAAGGTCAAAATGTGGTTTAAGAAGATTGAATAGACTGGCTTGTTCAGAAGCACATGACGTTACACTACCCCCACAAGACTAGTCACAATGTCAAGTAGAGCTAACAATCATAGTAGTGCTTACAAGTTCAGTGGTTCCTGGTTCACAGAGCCGTTAACTCAGCTCAATAGGTTATTATATGGACTTAACCAAAATCGTCCTTTTAATTGCACTTGGTTCTAGTTGTCTAAATTCGTATTTCTGTGAAATAATCTACACATCAAAATAAACCCCTCCTTATAACTGGTTTTGATAGTTGATGACTCCTACGTCTGTTTGTATAATTATCATGTTATAACTTTTTAATCTAGTTGTGTTCGTGGCATATCCTAAGTTGAAGCGGGGTATACCTGCTCTCAGTGTTAGCAGTCACGAACAGTTTTCTTGCTGCAAATGACAAGTAACTAATCGCTTGTTTTTATGAGACCAGTTCTTCACACGTCACACTTCCTCTATTTCGAGAAAGGTACTGTATATTTATCACCTCGTCTAATTCTCTTTAGTCTTAAGTTAAAAAAGTGATAAAACCGTATATTTTCAAGGAGCTCTAATAAGTGGTTAAGGACTAGCCTGGTAGCTACGGTAACATGGCATTCACATGTAATGAGACTGCTTATGTAGTATTAATGTCGACCTTGAGGGGAAGTTGTTCACATGGGGTTACTGGTATCGACTTTATGGATGATATGACACGGCTAGCCAAATCTTGGCTTGTAAAGGTTCATTTAGCTGCGATGCTTCCAAAGATAATGTCGCAGCTTCGAATTTAGATTGTACAATTTGAGACATTGCTATACAGGTTAGGAATTCTGGAAGCTTAGACTTGACGATTGAGTTGATCTTCCTAATACTACCCGTTTTCACTGTTAACATTAAAATGACTGGTAGCCAACTACATATTGCATACTTTTGTGTACATATAATTGATTACTTTGAGTTACTGATCGTATGAACTTCGTCCTATCATTACAGCTGTCATCGTTATTGTACTGATTTTTTCAAACACAACTAAAATCTAATTGCCAATATTCCTATGCGTCAGTGTAAACAGTAAATTTTAAATGCTGTCTTAGGTCAGTCGTTAAGTAAGCTATTAGAATTGGCAATATGAATCGTAAACATATGTCGTTTTATTTGTGAGTAGCATTAGTATACATAGTATTATAATTAGTACGAGAAGTATACTTAATCGGTTTATTATTGTAAGTATCTTCAATTATTTTGGTAAGTAGTATCACAAAACACTAACATTAGTCATGTTTGTAGCAGAAGTGGAATTAGCAAGCAGTGACTGTGCCATGAGTAGTGTGTGTAATATATGCGCATTAGTAGTACAATAACTATAGATTATTCCGTTATTAACTAGTATGAAGGTAGCACTAAACATTGTAATATAGCTAGCACGAGAAATGTAAAATAAAGGGATATAAAATCGGCTGACTATCGTAAGTACCTTCAATAGTGTGTGTAAAAAGTGTCACTAAACAAGTAACATTATTTGTGTTCGTAGCAGAAGTAGAATTAGCAGTGCAAGTAATATGTGCATCATTGTTAGTTCAAGAAGTATAGGTTGTTTCATTATTGATTAGTATATAAAGTATAAGTAGCAACTGCATTGTAAATTGTATGTGGTACAATAATACAGGTATTTTGTGTAGCACTAACATCATGTGTATCATGAGTTGCATAAGGAGTATAAGTATCACATGTACTATGAGTTTTTTCAATAATATAGGTAAGTACCATTATTATCATTAATACTTTTGTAGCATACGTAACACTATTACTATAGGATGATTTAGCTGCTTGAGTAAATTTAAGTTTCTCAAGCATAAATAGCGTTAACAGCACAAGTCGCACCAGTGACATCCGCAATTCAAGTAGTGCACATATCACTACAATCTACGTGGTATTGGTAGTGTCAGTAACACAGGTAGCACGAGTAGGAAAACAACGATCGAGGGCAGCATTAATAGAATTGGCAGTATTATTTAAATAAGTAGTATAAGTCCTATGGGTAGTACTAGCTGTAAAAGTATTATTAATAGCATTCATGGTGTTAGTAATATAAGCATATGGAGTAGCAGTAGTAATACAAGTGGCAAACAGAGACGTTGCTAACTCAGACGAATCGGATCAGATTAAATTCATATTCGAGTCCGTAACATCACCATATATCCCATGATCAACAAATAGACTATCCACATTGCCCCCCCCCATGGATCAATAAGGATACCCAAATTCTGTTGAAGCGTGGGAAATACTACAGAGACTTATTCTTATCAACAGGACACGAATCATTTGAGTGTGAATACAGAAAAATCCGGAATATATGTAAAAACCCCATAGCGAGATGCAGCACTACCTACGACCGTTGGCAAATGATAGCCGTACTTGCCTGGAACGATTGTTTTAATACACTGAACGAAAAACAAAGCGTAGTGACGGTATTTCACCATTATTGTTACAAGCGAATTCAAATATACTAGCTAAGCTGAAACATTGTCAAACTAATTCAACGAAGTCTACTCTGCGGTTATTGATAACAATACTTGCCATAATCACATCACTGATATGCCAGTTATAGGACCTGTATATGTGACTGAGGGAACTATTCCTCAATTGATCATTAGCCTCAAACCTAGGAAAAAAACAGGACCTTGACGGGTTACATACACGAGTGGTCATCTCTCACTGAAATTATTTCAACGCCACTCTCAATACACTCTTCAAAATGGTTCTTTCCCACACTCAACTTCCTAGGGACTGAAAAGACGTTGTAGTTAGTTCTACAAATAAAGATGTTCAGAGACAAATCGCGTTTAACTACTGACCTGTCGATCCCACCAGAATAATAGTTAGGAAACATGAAAAAATAATTTGAGTTAAGTCACACAGAATCACACAATCTGACAACTCCCGAGCAACACGGATTTCGAAACAAGCATTCATGTCCGACGAATTTGATTATTGTAAGAAAGGATTAGATAGCAGCCCTAGATAACGGTAGATTTGAAAATGTGATATTCATACACATGTCGACTATCCTCGTTTATTTCATCAACTTGGATCGCGTTAGCGAGTAACCGAATTAAATAAGTTAAATACGAGATTGGAGTTTGAACACATATATTTCACACAATCGTCGATCAGAACAGACAATCAGAGAAACGCAGCGAAGAAGACAGAGCGAAGCCAAACGAATCGGAGAAGGTAAGTGAGCCAACTCAATTTAATCAAGCGTTACTCAATATCTATGGTCAAACAAAAAACAAGTTACAGATATATGATGAATGGGATAAGCAATCAACACATATGCGATCACATAAAGTCAGAATAAATAAGCCAATAAGTGATAAGGTCAAAATGTGGATTCAGAAGAATGAACAGACTGGTATGTCCAGAAACCAGAACAACCAAAGTGTGAACGATAATCAATGGGTCATGTTATGTGTGTTCACAAATTGGAATGGAAGGTCAAAGATTATGTTTTGTGAACGACAGTTTTACAGGTAATAATGGTAATGGCACAAATTGTAAAAATTGATGAGAAATGCAAGTAGTAACAAAACTAATTACAAAAAATTCTACTTCAGCTATCCCCAAATAGCCCTCCCAGAGTGTCAGGAGGAAACACTGGTATGCAAAATAAATGAAGGAGAAGAACCTATGTACTTAAAAACAAAATCAAATAGCTCATTAGTTTGAAAAAAACGTCTGCTTTCTAAAGTAACGCTGAAGAGGTATGTGGTTAAGTTTAACAACAAGTAGTAGAGTACAGTGTTACTTGAGTGTACTATAAGAAAATGTCATACTTATGTGATGTGAACCGGAAAACAAGAAGCCCTGACAAACTACGAAGGCTATTTTTCGGGACGTTATTTTATTTTATTCAAAGCTTGTAAAACACTGACATTTACTTTCGTCCTTAATCTATTCTACAGAACATAAGCTTTCGTTCGATGTATCATTCACTGCCATACCTTTTTCTGTTCCGAAGCCATTGTAATTTAAACATATTATTTTGCACCCTGTTTTCTACTCTAATTTCCAGCTTTGGACATAATTGTATTTTTCCTAATTATTGCACGTTGCGGTCGGGTTATTCACTTATTTATTCATGTACCTTTTTACACTAAAATCTGAATTCAGTGAATTCAGTTGAAATCAGGAATAGATCGTGTAGTGTTCCAGTTGTCTTGTCTTCTCTCATTCGTGTGCTTGCCCACCAATCAGGTGACAGAATAGTTTTCTTCTCTCTACCCCATCTCGAACTCACGCATACTAGTCTCAAGGTTAAGTCGATCAGTCTATCGCATCAAGGTCGAAATCTAGATTAGACAAGTATCCTCGGCACCAAAAGTGGGTAGACAAACCAAGGTCATAACATTATGTAAAAAGGAATACATAAGTATCGCAAAGACGCGGACAAATATTAAAATGATAGTATATGATTATGAGTAAATTAACAAGCGTGCATAAAAATAAACTCGAGGAAGCTCTAAGAAACTCAGAAAGAGCCGAAGATATTCCATCCAATCATCTTTTAGAAGAATATTCCAGAACATCTACGTGCAGCTTCCCAAATCTTTAGCGAACAGTCATCTTTGTTCAACATTTGTTACCAATGTTTTAAGTTAGCAAAAGTTGGAGACGATGACTGGATGTAGCTCGACACTCCTTCCGACATTACACTTATTAGCCGAAGAACCTGGAAGTCTATTGGAAAACCCCAGGAGCTCCCGACAACCCAGTTAGCACATAGTGCATCTGGAGGGAAATCAAATATTGTTCGAGAGGTATGTTGTACAGTTCCAAAAGGAAATGCAAAGACGAATGCGACATTATACCTCACAAATAGTCCAGGACTAGATTTGCTGGGTTTAGACCTAATAGAAACACTAAAGCTAGCAAACCATTACATTAATTGTATATGCAGTTGCGTGAGAACCAACAAACCAGCAAAGAATAATCTCAGGAACGTTGTTTAAAAAAACATAGTCAAGTGTTCACGGATGAACTGGGGGATGCAAAATGTGGAAGCATTACTAATTCTTACTCTGGGAGACACCCCAGTTTTTAGACCCAAACGTCCGGTAAATTATGCAGCGCTACCTATTTTTGAACAAGAATTAGAGAGCCCGTAAAACAGAATCATAGAACCTGTGAATTTTTCTTATTAGACAGCACCAATAGTGATTGTTAAGAAGCCTAATGGAAGTATCCAGCTACGTGCAGATTATTCCACTGGATTAAACGAAGCACTTGAAGCCCTGTACCATTACCAGAAAACTTATCAGAAGCTAATCTACAGATTCCGGAAGCCGAAGAGTGCAAGCATTACCTGACAATAAACACACACAAAGGTCTGTTCCGATATAACAGACTTCCGTTTGGAGTAAAGACCACCCCTTCAATCTTCCAACAAGTTATGGACATTATGCTAAAAGATATCCTTGGTACCGCGACCTATCTCGATGTTATACTAATCATGGGTACAGACTACTTATGGTTCTCAGACGCATAGCAGATTATTGTTTCGGATTACGTGCTGAAAAATGTGATTTCTACATGGAGCAAGTTCGCTATTTGGAATTCATAATCGACAAAAACGGAAGAAAACCTGATCCATAAAACGTCAAGGCTCCAACAACAGATGTATCAACTCTACGTCCCTTCTTGGGAACGGTTAGTCATTATGGTTTTTTAATTCCAAATCCACCTCGCCTCCGTGCCCCCTAAATTGGTTACTGAAAAAGGATATCAAATGTGTCTGGTCAACAGAATGTCGAGAAGCATTCCTAAAACTAAAACAGCTCCTATCATCAGAACTTCTGCTTACACATTATGATCCAGATCTTCCAATTTTGGTCGCAGCACATGCGTCAAATTACGGAATCGGAGCAGTGATTTCACATACCTACCCTGAAGGATCTGAGAAAGCAACTGTCCACGCTGCACAATCGCTGACTACGACAGAAAGGGACTACAGTCAGATAGAGAAAGAAGCCCTCTCCATCATATTCGCTGTAAAAATGTTTTACAAGATGCTATTTGGCAGACAGTTTACCTTACTAACAGACCATAAACCGCTACTGACAGTTTATGGATCCAAGAAGGCTATCCCTACATATACAGAAAAGTCTAAAGTGACGGGCCACTACAATGCTGGGCTATGATTTCAAGATAAAGTATCAACCGACAACGAATTTTGAACAGGCAGATGCCATCTCAAGATTGATTGGTTCCCATAAAAAACAAGAAGAGGTGCTCGTAGCTGTTACAGATGTTGAGGCTGAGGTTCAGTGTTGGCAGACGCAGTTTCCGGACTGTCGGTCACATTTGAAGAGATTAAACGAGCTAGTGAGCAGGATAATGCGTTGGAGATTGTTTGTTACTGTATACTCAACAAGCGGCCTTTATCTAGACTACATGGTGAGCTCTTATAATATTTCCGTCGACAAGATTCCTTAACAATTGTCGATTCAAGATTTATGTTTGGCCACAGTATCGTTATCCCCATAGATCTTCGACACCAAGTCCTCAAGCAGTTCCATAGCGGGCATTCGGGGATAATTATAATGGAGTCAGTTAGTCAGTCAGCTGCAACGTAGGACCAGGCATACATATGCATCGGTCCAAGTTGCCATACCGCATTAGCACAACAAGATGAACACCGGATTTGTAGGAGTGGTTAAGTCAATGGTGGTAATGTATAAAAGAAGGATTGCATATAAGGAAAGAATTAGTTCGTAGAAAGAAAGATTTGAAGTGATTTTAATCTCTTAGTTTAAGGGAAGACAGAGAGTGTATACACCGACGCCATTGTGATC